GTAGATTGGCCACCGTGAGATTGGCTGGATCTAGTATAGTTGGTTGTGCTTGTTTTTCGGCATCTTCCTTCTGTGACGTAAGACTGTGCATGGTGACTTGTCCATTGGACCAAATGGTGAAACAACTGGGCAATCCCCCGGCTGGCGTCAAATGGTAGTTGTCTTCGTGTATTTCATCTACTAGAGTGTCCCGTTGTTGTTGTGTTGGTTTACTGGAATCACAGGGCGTGTCGGCATAACACCGTTCATTGTCGGGACAGACATCGGCCGTTCCACTGGGACACGGAGTTCCACACTTGCTAGCCGCATCGTGCCAATCACTTCCGCAATAGTAGTGTTTGGATCGTTCGTCGAGATTCATCGCATCAAAATCTGCCTCTTGTGATTGCCTGGGAATGCCACGGACCATCACTTGACCCGTCACAATCTGCAATGGTTTCACAGGCGCTCCACCATGTTCTTCTCCTTCTTCTTCTTGTGTCATGACAATAGGATCCGATCGCAGCAATTCCCGTGGTTGAAAGGGAGCTCCCAATACACCCGTCTTGGCACTACTATAGCTCGAATGAAGAGGCTTTAAATCCAACAATTGCAGTACAAATTGTTGTCCCCCGTTCGTCTTGTGCACGAGAGTCGGCAACATGGTGACCAACGCTTCGGACGTGCCATCGCCATCCACGTCAAAGGCAGCCGGCGGCACTTGATCGCGTTCAAAGGGAAAATAAAAAGACAAATGGATCGATGCCGATAAATTCTCGGCTTGATCATTCCATGCCATGCGAGTCAGAATCAGAGCCAAAAAGGCAGCTACAATGTCGCGAGTTCGAAGCATACTAGTATTGGTTCATTCAATGAATTGCAGACACAATAGTAACAGATGAGCGACGGGAAAGATAGACGAGGTTGTATGATAGTGGACGGTCGTCCATTGTCGTCGAACGGTGGCGAAGATTTGGCAGGCGTCCAAGAATCATAGAGATTTAGGGATGGAGATAACTGGACTTGACTCGACTCAATGGACTCATTGCTTCCCGTCATTGGTCTCTTCCTCAGTTCTTCGAAGCGCACTCTTGTTGCATCATTTGGGTCGACAAAATAAGACTCGTTACGAGATTCATGCCTCTTACATTGATGGGCTTTCCCATAAGGGTTCGTCTTTTTCGATAGCATAGCATACCAACAAACGACCTCCAGATTTTTGTTATTGTATTCATACATACAGTGTACAAATTGGCCTCATCCCAATTCCATTGCAGACGACCACGACCTTGCCTCCAAATCCAACTTTCATCCGCAGGTACCGTACTGGCCACGAAAACAAACAAAAACATGATACGCACTACATGTACAACCATTATCAGAATACAGTTGCTAGTGATATTACTATATCATTTGTGTCAAAGTTCCGAATGCAAGTCGCATGTACGGACGCTTCGAGTCAAGGGCGCCTCTTCATCTTCCACAAACACAGACAAACAGATTCCACAGCAACAACAACAACAGCGAAAACCGCAGGCAACCAAGGGAGGTGCCCGCATTGAAGTTCCGCCTGCATCGCATGACAAAGCACTCAATGAAAATCCCAAAAAGGAAGAGTTTGCGTCACCAGATGTCACTATTCTTTCTCCTGCGTCCGTAGACACAGCGGCTTCCTCCTCCTCCAAGGCAACTACTACAACTACAACCACGACGACCAGTAATAGTGCTACTGCTAGCAGCAACGATGCTCGTCCCGCCACTCCGGTTTCAAAAGCAACCAAATCGCACAAATCTTCTTCGTCTTCCACGAGTTCCTCCTACTCGGCGGCCAAAAAGAGCTTGGATCACAGCAAGGAAGCATACCATAAGATATCTTCGTCATCACACCAAAAGCAACAACAGCAGCAGCAAAAGAAGAGCTACCAGCAAGAGGAAGCGCAAAAGTTGACGTCCAACTCTGACCCAGAAAATATGATTGTCTTGTATGCTGAAACAAAACCGCCCACGAAAGCGCCGACACCATCCCCCACCGAACAACAACGAGTGGAAAAAGAACATGTTCAGGAGACCAACGACAAACAGTTACTGACAAAGCCAGCCAGAGTAGAACGAAAGTTCCGAAATCGGCCGCAAGACCATGATGACGAGAAGAGTAAGTAATGTTGATTTGATTCTGTGACAAGAACGAGCAACGGAGCTCACATACATGCTTCACATTGCCTGTTTCGTTCCACAGAACCCATGCTGGAAGAGCAGCAACTTCATGGTAAGAGAGAGACGCTGTGGTATCTTTCATAGTAGTGCTCGTTGTGTTCAACCTTGTTTGTTTACTCATTGTCTTTTGATGTTCTACTTGTTACTTGCACGCCAGCACACCAAGTCGACATTGACCAAGAGCTCCTCCAAGCATCCATCGAGCTCAGCCCCTTTTCCGTCCTCTTTGACATTCAACAACAGGCTCCAGACGCCATTCATTACGTGGATGCTGTGCGGGTCACGAGAGAATGCATGCGACCATTCATGTTCTACAAATTTGATGATGCGCTCGAGTATTTTGCGCTCACCAGCCACAAGGCGGGGTTGACTTCGCAAGGACCACGCATTGATTTTGTCGCACACGTCAAGTTCATTGATGGCGCGGCGGCATTGAGTGACGAAACAATCATGGAGCAAATACAAAAAGCATTCACAGAAGACTCGACGTTTGTCGAACACTATCTAAAGCACTTGCAAGAGTTGGACTCCAGCAATCCCTTTCACGAAACCGAAAGAATACGCTTCCATTCGATCTACCAAATGCAAGACAGTCTTGTCGACTCGCGAGTTGATGTGAACAAATCCAAAATGAATCCAGCCAGCATCATCGGTGCCTTTGCAGGTGCCGCCATCATGCTTGGTATATCGGGTCTCATTATTCATCATGGAAGCAAGAATCTTGCATCGGAAGATGGAACGGCCAAGGGTTACGCAGAATATGCTGCCGCCTTGGATCCCACTTCATCATCATCAACGACCAGCGACGTTGTTTCTTCTTCGGCTCCCTTTTTGATCAACAAGAAGAAGGATCTGCATCCATTTCTAATATCCAAGGCGAAGGAGTCAACCCTATTACTGAATTGGCTGCCACGGTATTGGCAGCTTGAAGGTCCTAATGAAAAAGCTGAAGAAGACGATCAAGACGACGATGAGGATCCAGAGTTGTGTGAATTGTCCATGTCCGAGTCAACGCACTCCTCTGGGACCTGTGATACGGATGCTTCCATACAGTCCTTTAAAAGGGAACGCAGTCACAGCTTTTGATCCCAAACACGAGGGCTCTGTTTCAACTGGAACCCAATGATAGCTAGGCTTGGAACTTACTTTGCCGGAAGAGATTCATCATTGCTACCATACGGTAGGTAGCTAAGGAGGAGAAGTGTAACCAATAGTGCACATGTATTATTTAGCATTGCTTTATTTTCATCCATCTTGCTTTCTGCTGCCCTGATCTTAAGGAAGGCCCACTTGCCCACTTGGAGCATTGATGTCGCTTAGATCTTGGGTGCTGTCGAAGGAAAGTCCTTGCTTGGGTTCAGTCGACTCCCACGCTCAAGCCAGTCACGGTTGCAGAAGTAAACCCGAAACCCCAATCGAATGTCGGGAAGCAAATTTTGATCCAACGCTCTTCATGATGGAAAGAAGCGCATATTTGCATGTTTTGCAAGAGTCAGAAGCTGTCCTTTTTTCTTGTCCAACTGAACCTCTTTTTGTGAGAAAGAAGCCACAAGGCACCAAGCTCTGATCGACAAATATTGAGCAACGGGAAGCAGTGTCTGGGCGCATACCAAAAAGATTGTAATCAGGAAACATATACGCAACAATGAGACGTCTCGTAGCAGCTGTATGTTTTTTGGTAGCGCTGCAGCATGGAGAAGCTAGTTCTATCAGACGCCTCAAAGGGCACAACAGGAAGCTTCAAACAAATTCAGTTACGCTGACGAGACCACCAGATCCTAAACAAAGCCAAGAGGCGAAAACCGGCTCAAAGGCACCCACGAAGCAACCATCCACAAAGGCTCCAACCTCCAAAGCGCCCACTGGGTCGACTGGAACCAAATCACCAGTCGCGTATGCTGCTACCAACGATATAGTCTATGACCATTGGGTAAGCCCGTCGGAAGATTACGACTCTAATGATGCCGCTCCCAAAGGAGGCGGTGGCGGAGGAAACAAGCAGAAGGAAGAAGAAAACCGCCCTCCAAGACCATCTGGAACTTCGCCCGATACGCAGCCAAAGGGAGGCGGAGGAGGAAATAAAGGCAGTGGTGGAGGGGGCAACAAGATAAAAGGCGTGAGTGGCGCTGCAAAAGGTTCGCAGAAGGGAGGAAGCAGTGGCAACAAGACGAATAACAAACAGAGTAGCAACACGAACAAGTACAGCAAAGATACGGGAGGATACGATTCACCTGATGGCGGTAGCTATGACAACTTTCCCGTTGGACCCGGAAACAAGGCGAGTGGAGGAGACTACAAGAGTGCTGGATACAATAGTGCTAGCTACAAGAGCGGTGGTGGCAACAAGGGCGGTGGCGGCTACAAGAGCGGTGGTGGCAACAAGGGCGGCGGCGGCTACAAGAGCGGCGGCGGCGGTGGAGGGAAGGAATCGTCATACAAGGGGGGCGATGACAAAGAGCCTGATTACATCCGTCCTGGAGGTAAGATCACAAACAGTTTGGCATCTTCATTGACTTTCCGTTGTACTTTGCAACTTACTCATCTTGCTGCGCTTGAAACCTGCTATGGCAGGAGGAGCAGGACCAGAGGCTCCTGAGGTACCTGGTTATGTGAGCGCCGGTGGCACCCCTTACACCGGAGTTCCGATCAGCCGATTTGCGTTGCTATATGACATTGATCACAGCCTGGGAATGCCAATGACGGCTGACTACGAGCAAGTCCACGAGAATACCTATCTTTGGTTGTACACTGTCATGTTCCGTGCGTTTGGAGATCGGATGAGAAATCTCATTACTGACGACACCAGCAACATCTATGAAGCGAATCAGGCCATAACAATTGAGTATTCATCCGTCGCTCTCTTTGAACCCACTGACCCAGACATTCCAACCAGGGACGAACTGGATCAATTGGTCATAGAGGCCTTCACGGGAGAAAACTTGGACTTTTATGTTGAGAGCCTACAAGGTCTGCCCGAGGAGAATCCATTCAGGTAAGCTCTGAAGATTGCTTTGACAGGGGAACTCGTGTGGCCTGCGAGGAGAGATCTCATTCTATTCGTTTGTTGCTTCGCCCAAGTTCTACGACTTCTGTAGAGCTGGAGCAACCACCTCCCGGTGAAGGCAGAAGCGCCATAGGATCTATCTCCAGTAGAGTTGCAACAGAGGGTATGCTTCCGCCGTTCATGGCCGCAGCAGCATTCTTTGTTGTACTCGCAGGAAGTGCAGCAGCATGGAGATCATCGAGGAGCGGTGGCAACAGGGAAAGCGGAGGCGGCAAGCATTTCGACACCTACAGCAGATCAGGCGATACAGCTGTAACCGGTCTCGATGACGACTTCACAACGGTTGGCCCGCTATCCGAAAAACGAAGCTGGGACTTGCACATTCAGGAAGAATCGCTCAATCAACCAAATCTTGCGCCAATCTCTGAGGAGCCTATGGACCCCGATCTCGCTCCCTTTAGTGATTTCTTTGATGCACCTAACTCGCCAACACGGTCCACTACAGATGAGCACTCACAGTACTCTATTGAAGACTTTGTCAACGAAGCAGAAAGGAACCTGCTGGGCGTTCGGATTCGATATCCCGGTGGTCAAGACACAGCATCCACCAGCAGCCTGAGCGCTGAAACAAACAGGACAGAAGAGCTCGAGACGTCCACAGCTCTGGTCCCCGCGCCTCCCTCAGCATTGATCCCATTGTCAACTTCCACTTCCACCGCCATCGTTCCGACTTCCGCAAGGGATATGGTGACCTATACAACCATTTGATAGCTTTTCTAGCTAGCTTTGCGAGAACATTCCCTTGGAGTGGACCCAACGGAATCTACTAGTTTTCATTAATATAAGTACAACTGTAACCAATATATGTTCACCATGTTCGAAGAATTACAGACAGTCCAAGGACAGGACTTCTCCAACGATTCACTCGTTTGGAGGGAATAGAGCCCTCATCCAAGCACCCGAAGAAAGTTGGTTTCAACACACTCCAAGATTTCCCCAATAGCATTGAGTTCAGTAATGCAGGCACTCTCCTCCTCTGAAATAACCCGAGAAACAAGATTTCGGTCAGACCAGCACATGACGGCAAGCGACGAAGCACACTCTCCGTTGCCTACCTTTCATCCAGACTTTCAATAGGTCGACAACACGCTCTGTTGATGTTTCTCTGGCTCGCTGCAGGCGACGTAGCGCTAGATCGTGAAGTTCCGATTTAATGTTTTTGCTCTCAAGATGAGCTTCCTTCGCCTCCTTGACAGCCGTGTGAGTAACATCCGAGCCAAATCTGCCAAGCTTGGCCTTCAATTCATTCACGAGACCGGGGATGCGCTTCCTCGTGGCGATATTGATGGCCGTGCTTACATCCGTTTTCTTTTCGAACGCTGTAAGAAGTGGCACCATTCAAGGTGAGCGACAATACACCTTCCGCTGCAACCTTTGCAAAGATCAAGACGTACCACTCAACGCCTCTGTTCGCTTCTGGCTAAAATGTTTCTCGAGTTGCACACCAACACATTCCATGTACACAAAACTCTCAACAACTTCGACTCGTTGTGTATATTCGTTGAGGAGTCCAGAAAGGCTGGACAGAAGCCATTCGGTCTGAGAGTCCCTCCCTTCGATATACGTCTTCGCAACGTTTCCGCAGTCTCCCCGGCCCTTTCCATTCGGACCCTTCAACAAGAAAACAACTCACAACGTTAGCAAGACAAAAATAAGGAATGGGTTTGGAGGAGAACATCAAAACGTACCGAGTTGATGACTTGTGATGACAATTCAACAAACGGCGTGCTCCAGCCCATTGGATCATTCAAGAGAATCCCTGCCTTTGAAAGAGGTTTCGTCGAGGGGAGAAAAAGACTAGCAGAACTCTTAGGTGATCCAGTCTCGTCATCCAAAACAACGCCACTGAAGAGTTTGGCAACTTCTGCAAAGTACTCCTTTCGAGTTTCCATAATGTGCTTTGCGGGCTTCTTCCGGGTGTCCACGCCTTTGAGATCTTGTCGTCCACCCTTCAGAACAGCCTTTCTCAGAATTTCAACAGCTTCAACACATCTATTCAAATTCTCCCGCAATCCAATGGCATACTTTCTTACAAGACGCAGTTCCCGAGTGGTTTGTTCTACTCGGACATTGGGATCGTCAACTCCCACAGCTTTCATCATTGCCATGGCCAAGTCCGAGTTCCAGCGTCCAACGCGTTCACGAGCAATTTGCAATGCGTTGTCTCGCATGAGCGCCCTGGCATGCTCCTGGTCGTCCGAATCAATCTCCTGGTTACCATTCCCTGAAGACGGAAACCTTTTCTTCCCCAAGTTGACCATGCGTTGGGCTAAAGAAAGCTCAGTCTTCATGTCTTCCTTGTTCTCCGCCTGGTGCCGGACCACCATTTGAGTCACAGCTTCCTTGACGGACAAATCCGTCTTGTTGCGTAAGGCAGCGGCGGCAGAGCGTAACAATCGGCATTGGTTGGCTTCTGATCTGAAGTATGCATACGCCATCCGTGCTGTTCTCATGGGAGTGGACTTGCAAAGTGTCGTCAAGGATTCCCTCAAGAGCCTTTCATTTTCAAGGACACGGTCCTCCACGCGTCGTTTCAGCAGCCATTCAGGGGAATGAACATCATCGCCGCTTGTACTCGTCGAGGAAGTAGAGTTGGTTCGGACTAGATCTGCGTCATTGGCTTTCTTCTCTTCGCCGTCTCTTGATGATGTAAAGGAACGCAAATGCTGTTGAAAGGTCCCCAACAACGATGTCGTTGCAGCCTTCAACTCATTGTCACCATCTGAACTCGATTGAGAAGACGTCGAGTCTGTTGCCACTGATCCTTCTCCATCTTTCAGATGCTTGTCTTCCGGAAAACGTTGCTTCGCCCCAGAGGAGAAATACTCTTCGAAGTCTGCAATTTGTTTCATTCCCTCCAAATAGGCTTCTACAGAGGGTCCCACAGCGCTCAAGTCTGCCACGTAGGCTGTCAGCATCGCCCGGAGCATCCGCAGTGCCGGCACGGAACGGTCAATTTTCTGCTGCGCCAAAGCTCGGACGCATTGATCGACAGTAGACTTTTTGATTTTGCGGTATGGCATGCAATCTCGATGAATCTTTTTCTCTCCGAGTCTCGCACTCTCCACTTCCTTTTCGTAGGAAAACAGATTTGAGACGGCAATACCGAATCTCTTCCAGGCCAGTCCAATGTTTTCTTCCTCCTCCAACAACACTTGGACCTTCTCCATGGTGGACAAGGCTGTTTTACGGTAAGACAGAACCAAATCTCGCTGCGCTTGAATCAAAGTTATCGATTGCGCCAACTTCCATTGCTTTGGCCGATGCGCATCGTTGCCAGCAGCTGGTGGCGGTTGCTGCTTCGCCATGATATTATGAGCGGGTGTTACCAAGGACGAGGCAACCGTAGAGGCATCCAAAAAACTGTCCTGAATATCGAGGGTATCCGCAGTCCCCAGAGCCCTCGACGAATACCCATATTTCCTCTTGCTGTTATTGTTTCCACCAGGTCCCATGGATGAAACAGACGAACCAGTCGAAGAGGGAGATTCCTCGTCCAGCACCTGGCACCCCAAGGTCACACACAATTCATCTGTAAGTATGGACAAAGGTCCTCGGGACCAAAATGAATTGACAAACGATTCTGGTTCTTCTTCGTGTCGGTGGCCGTGTGAATAAACAGTAGAAGGCGATATTGGATGCTTTGATTTTCTCGGTGATGGTTTACATATTGCACTCCGACAGTTGCCATCCGTCACTTCCGTGTCTTCATATTCCAAAACAGGTCGATGATTCTGTTGTTTTTGTTGTTGCTGCCGCTGATGCTCTCTCTGTCGTTTATGCAGCTCTTGTTTCATTACAAAGGCTTCCCCCATCATACTAGTGATGAGATTGCCAGGTTTTTGCAGGGGCGCAGTACTTCGATACAGAAATGCTTCTACAGCCTCAGCTTGCAGCATATCAATGGACCGACTATGTTGTTGCTGTCCCAGAATGAGTTCCCCCTGTCCTCGAATCCCGTTGAGCACATCACTGAGCCAATTCCGTAACAATTCGGCATCGACTTCATGTGTGGCCTGTTCCAAATCGGTCATTCCCACGGCAATGTTTAGCAATGGCAGCAGCAAGGCACCTTGAAATTCCGCCTTGAGTGCTTCTTCGAGCCAGACAAAGTTCTCCAAGGATCGCCACGTGACAGCGACTGCGGATGAGTTGATGGAGTTGCACGACTCGGGCGGATGTTGTTGCTGTTGTTGTGCTGTGGGTTGTCGTTTAGTCACTTGAATACGGTACTTCCATCGTCGTTCGGGATTGTCCCATTCGGCGGGTGCGACTTGCACGACCCAGGGCATGACATTGGCGGGCAAGCAGTTTCGTCCAAATGGTCTGGACACGATGAGCTTTGCTTGTTGTTGTTTGGCTACTGAAACGTGTGCCCCATTGTTGGTGCTAGCACTGCCACTCATATGACTCGCAGCGGCCGCTGCAGCAGCGCCCTTGCTGTTCAAGGTCATGACGGATGGAGAAGAGCTGTCCACAGAAGAGGGTGGAAACAAAGTGGAAGAACCGCTGGATGCCGACGCTTTAATGTCTGGATCTAGTTGCGGTTGGATGATCTTGGTCCCGATCAGCGAAGCACTAGCACTGGTCCGCGAAGCACTGGTCCGCGAAGCACTGGTCCGCGAAGCACTGGTCCTCGACAGACTAGTACTATTGGGCGTTAACGATGACATGGTGGATATTGCCGTGGGTTGTGTGCCAACAGTTTTGGGGCTTCTTCCGAGTTTGGAACTGGAGGATCGTGTCTTGAGAATCCGAAATCCGTCATCATCTTCGTCGTCATTCTCGTCAGGCTCTTCCTCTTGTGGTTGCTTCTTGGCCGCCGATGCCGACTTCATATTCTTGGACGCCAAGTTGAATTGAAAGGAAGTGCTTTCTTGCGAATTCACAGTCAATGGCCCTGCACTGGCGTCTGTTGGATCATCATCATCGTCGGAATCACTTTCACTCTCTTCGCTGTCGGACGATGCCTCTGGATCAAAATCATGCAGTCCAAAATCGTCGTCATCATCTTCCTGTTCGTCAGGGTTGGCAGCCCGGGGCGACAGGGCAACCAATGCCTTTGCGGCGGCGTGTGCAACGGGTGACTTCTGTTGTCGTTTCTTGCTATTCTTGGATGACGACGGCGTTGAAATGGTCGTAGCCGCAGTGGGACTCTTTTTGGGTGACAGCACTGCCGCCACGGCGGCTTCCATTGACTGTCTTCGTTTGGATTTTGCGGATGTTGGTGATTGTTTCTTGGTCTTTTGGTGATTGTTGTTGTTGTCGTCTTCTGCCTTTGTCTTGCGGGGTGATACACGGGGGGATGTTTTCTTTGGAGGAGATGCATTGGAATGCTGTACAGTGATAGTAGCAGTACTGTCTGTGGGCATAAAACCAGTATGGGACTCTTGGTGTCCCGAGGAGGAGGAGGTACTCATAATGGCCGTAGTGGCTACAGTGGATGCCGTAAGTCTGGAGGCATCCGCATCATTTTCGTACGTCATTTCAAAGCCTGGCATGTTGCTGGACATATCATCGGGATGATTCATTGGATACTGTTCTGCTGGTTGATGAGTGTAGTGATGCTGTTGCTGATGTGGAGTAGGAATCAGCGTGTCTCTCATCATGAGTCCAGATTCATTGATCATTCCATCGTACGAGAGAGGAATGGGCATCCATTCTGTATCTGAAAACAACTGATCGTTCTGTGGCTGTGACTGTGGCTGTTGCGGTGATGATGATGTTACTTTCAGTGCTTGTTTTTGGGTTTTACTTGGGTCTGCTGGTTGTTGCTTTTTGGAATTCTTCTTACTGGAGGTTCTTCCAGCTTTTGATTTTGCTGGTTTCGATGGAGTCGTGTCCTGAGGAGGAGGAGGCAGTGGGGGTGGAGGCGGTGGAGGAGGAGGTGGATGTTGTTGTTGCTGTTGTTTGGAGGAAGCAGAGACCACCGAAGGAGCGGTGCTACTATTGCTGGAGTTCCTCATATTCTTGGGCGTTCTGGACAAAGTGTAACCTGCGGCCTTTTTGCGACTCTTCGACTTTTCTTTCAGTGCATCGTCTGCTCCACGGTTGTGATTCGTCCGTCCAAACCCAAAGACTCCCCAGTTGCCTCGCTTGTTGCTGTTGCCCTGTGTGTCCTGATGATAACTTGTCTGCGGTGGCACCACCACGGCAGGCTCTATTGGATTCTCTTTCGACAAGAGACCCCACTCTGCCTCCTTCTTCACAGAAGAAGCACCCTGTACGGATGCCGATGCCGACATGACAGAAGACTGGCCATGTCCTCTCGAAAACCGTCGTCGATCTGATTTTTTTAGCTTCATCTTTCTTCGCTATCTTGACAAAAGAGAGCAACCGAAGACTCAGATCTCAGCAAGCACAGCAATCAGCTTGATCACTGCTCTGTTTCGTTTCCCCCTAATGTACACACCAGCCTCAACACCACAGCTATGGCTACTCCTGTACTTCTCGCTAGCTAGAGCTATACTAGTACAATCAATCTTGTTTCGTGCCGTCGTTCGTTCAATACGAGAATGGGCTCATGGTCGAGGGTCTCTCGTGTGCTCCTTTTTGTTTGCGTTGTGGATGGACGCCCTACGGCCCTCTAAGTCTTCATCCGACATCGACAACCGTCAACGGAAGCTTGACCTAAATAGGCGGGCGATCACAAAATGTGGGTCCCTTGGTCACGCAGGACTCAATTCCACGGCGCGCCAAATAAAGGAGGTGAGTATTTACCCTTACACCCTACTTCATTAAAAATTCAACCCACTTCTGGCTTAAAAGATGGGGTAAATATCCGCAAACAGAATGTGCTGGCCACTCCCAAGCCAAAAATGTAATCGGCAAGATGGACAAATTCCGGGCAGATCCGACCAGGAAGCAACTGTTGGGAGAAGAAGGGGTTTAGAGTAGCAACTGTTGGTGATGACGCTCCGTATCATGCCGCAACCGAGTCTAACAAGGACCGGCCAAAGTGGCCTCAAATCTGGAACAAAAACCCGTCCGTTCACGCAACATAGCGGATTCTACATCATGTTGGTTCCGGATGTTAGTATGTGTAACTCTAGTCTAGAATGATATCATAATCCACTGTTCGTTTCCTTCAAAAGCGATTTGCAGCATCCATCTATTCCACCGGCAGACCAACCAACAGAAATCCTACATCATCATGAAGATTGTCAACCTCATTCCAGTCATTTCGGCCCTTCTTCTTGTGTCTGGTGTATCTGCGCGACTGAATATGGCAAGAAAGAAGCAAAGGAAGCTGCAAGGAGGAGAGGGAGGACCGGAAGGAGGCAAACCTCCCGGTGGTATGGAAGGAGGTATGGAAGGAGGCATGGATGCTGCAGGAATGGGCCTGGGTCCACCCATGTTGGAAGAAGTGGAGTCGGCATGGCCTACGGACACTATGTGGCCCACCGAGTGGGCAACATTGTATGACACACCCGCCGAGACGGATCAGTGAGCGAGGAGTAGTCTAGCTAGACGAAAAATTGCGGATGCTTTGATTTGTTGCTTGGGTCTGATGAGGCAATGATTGATGTGATGATGTGATCTACTTGTACTGTACCGTACTGAGGCGAGTTGGTTTGTGCTGGTGAAATAATTGTGTAGTCTTTTAAAAAATTTATAGGCGTGGGGACATGGTATGACTGTTCTGTATCTTTCTTCGATCCATTGGCTTTGACTGGCAAGTAGAGTTCTCAGGCTGTTGGACAGCATGGGACAACGCTAGGTACTCGTAGTGCTGATGCCACCATATTGGGAATGAACTCTGTACGAGTGTTTGCGTAGGACAGCTTGAAATGAAGGGGAGCAAAGGGCGGTTTAAAAGATAAAGGAGGGTTTAGAGTAGGTGGATTATCATCTACGGAAGAAGCCAGCCAGCAATTGCCAAGTCAAGCAAGTATTCGCCCATGAGCTAGCTAGCCAGCTTGGCTGCCCGTGGGATAAGTGGACACGTGAGAAGCTGCAAGACATGTGAATTTAGAAATCCTCAAGGTTGCGCATGAAAATGGTTCTGTGAACTGTTTCACTCTTTTGTTGGTGTGGAAGAAGAGAATTCCACTCTGAGCTTCCACGATGCATGACTTTCCACGACGACCACTCAACCGCGCGATGGGCGCGAGATGCGAAAGATTTGTGAAAGCCAGGGATGTGACGAGCCATTGCGAAAGTCAAAGAATGACAGCGAAGGATCTTTGAAAGTGCCGCTTGGTCGATCCTTCCTGCTGCCGTCGTCTTCATATCATACAAGTACAAAAACAGAGCTGCACTACACTACACCATTCCATCCAATTCAATTCATTACTCATAACAACAACAGCAACTACTAGCTAGAACTACAACAACAACTACTAAACCATGTCCTCTATTCCTGCGACCAGTCTACTACGACGACGCTTGCATCATTCGTCTACTAGTAATGGAATCCGAAGAATACTTTCCACACCAACAAGAGCAAGAGCCAGTAGATCACTGAGTACATTTTCATCGTACGAGTATCCCAATCGTACCGAAGCTCCCGAAGTGACTCGGACCATTGCCAAAGAAGTGGGTGACAAAGTCCTAGAACGAGGAAGTCCCCTAACTCCCGAGACGGTCCATGCGAGAGGCGCCGACGACGATGATCGCTTTGACGATCTTGGGCGATTGAGTGCGCAAGATCGACTCGCCACGAAATCCAAATTACCGCCTCTCAATACCACGTTGTCCGGCGCCACGGCCATTGAACCCACGGCGCCCGCCTATATTCCCGTCTTGTCGTCACATGACAAATTAAAAGTTCCCACAACGGAAATTACGTGCCTGGCAAATGGCATGCGAGTCGTCTCCCAAGAAACCTACGGCCAAGTGAGTACGGTCGGAGTGGTGGCCGATGTCGGGAGTCGTCACGAACCGCAATGGGGTGTCGCACATTTATGGGAACTCGTCGCCTTTGGTGCTACGCAGCGACACAGTAGTGGATTGGAAATTCAAGAATTGTTGCAAGATTGGGGTGGTACGCGTTTTGTCAATACAGGACGAGAACAATCACTCGTTTGTATTGATATTCTACGACCCAATGTCGAAAAAGCCGTTCAATTGCTCCAAGCCGTACTCCTCGAACCCAAATTTCTACCGGAAGAAGTGGAAGATGCCAAACGAACCATGGAATTTCAATCGCTCGATTTACCACCCGAATTGCAAATGGAAGAAGCACTCCAAACGGCCGCGTACGGATTGGATCAGCAATTGGGAAAACCACATTACTGTCCCATGGAACACTTGTCCACATTAAATGCCGACGTCTTGCGCAATTTCTGGAATCACAATGTCTTGGCGCATCCACAAGATATTGTCATTGGCGGTGCCGGAATTGGCCACGAGCAACTCGTCGATTTGACACTCCAATATTTTGGTGACTGGCCATCGGCTGCTGTCGACAGTAAAAGTGCACAACAATCCGTCCGCACTAAACCCAGTCTCTATCGAGGAGGACAATGCTTTTTGGAAAAACCATCGTCGGATGGATTCACACGGGTGGCACTGGCATTTGAATTGGATGGATGGCATTCGGAAGATCTCGTTCCTACGTGTGTCCTCCAAACACTCCTCGGTGGTGGCAATTCATTTTCCGCGGGTGGACCCGGCAAGGGCATGTACTCGCGGCTCTACCGACAAGTCTTGAATCGATATCAATGGGCCGAATCGGCCGAAGCATTTACCAGTATTCATGCCGAATCCGGACTCTGGGGCATTACCGGGAGTAGTCAACCCAAACATTCGCGGGATGTCATTCATGTACTGGCGGATCATCTCGCACGGCTCTCCATGGAATTGGTGACCGACGAAGAATTGGATCGAGCTCGTAACATGCTCAAATGCAATGTCTTGACGCAACTCGAATCACGATTGGTCCTCTTTGAAGACCTTGGCAGACAGGTATTGACATATGGACATCGAGAAGATATGGATACCACTTGTCGTAAAATTGATGCCGTCACCAAGGAAGATTTACAAGAATTGGCACGCAAGGCTATTCAGAAACCACCCACACTGGCCGCGGTCGGAGAAGGACTCGACAAGTCCAATATTCCCAGTCAAGAAGAAGTGGCACGGTGGTTTCAAGGAATATAGTATAGTATAGTAGTTCGTAAGGTAGAAAATAGGATTTTAAATGTAGAAAAGAGTTCAAGTAGTTATGATTATAAAAAAGATTGACCCATCAAAGAGGTTTAGTCTAGGTTTTAGTACGTACGGTACCGGTAGTTATCCGAAAGCTCTACAGTCGTTCGTTTTAAAAGTGTGAACGGCTTGTGGAGGCGGGAAGCCTCTTTTATTTCCTGTTTCGTGGACGAATTGAATTCAGTCGAATCCACGGCGCACCATGTTATTACACCGGTACTGTATGCAGATTGGCAAATTTATGCTTCCTGTTTGCCGATGGCAGCGCAAAAGATGATTGATGGCTTCCATTCGAATTCCTAAACTCCAACAATTTGAGCCCTCCCCTTGGTGATGAATGGACTCTTTGACTATTCTTCTCTCACACGTAGGCTTCTTCGTAACCAGCACCATCCACTAGGGATGGCGGTAGTTCGTTATCATGTGGTGGTTCGTCTTGTGAGTATTGCGTTTCGAGGTAGGCTTGTAATCCCGGTGGGAATCGCACGAAAAGAGTATCCTGGTGGTGTTGAGGAGGAGGACACGTGACGAGTACGAGTCCTCCGCTCTCTTCGTCTTCACTTTCCCAGGTGATTCCCTTGCAGACAAAGGGCAATTCGATGCGTGGATTGTTGTTCATTGTTGTGTTTGCTGTTGTGTCCTCTTGGATTGTTTCGTTGGCGTTGGCGTCTTTTAGTGCCGCCGTGTCGTCCTCCAAGACCACTTCGGGAATGGTTTGTTGGGTGAATTCCAACGAGGAGATCAACGAAAAAGGCAGACTACTAGCGTTGTCCTGATCATGCTGGGACAGGAGGGCCGTTCGAATGGCGTTAGGAAGGGGATGGACACCGGCTGGTTTCCAACGAGGCCAAATGTTGACCAAAAACGTTACTCTCATGGTGGTACCACTCCTAGGGTGATGATCCCCATTGGTGGTTGTCGTCGTGTCTCGATTGTTGTTTTGTTCTTTTGGCTGATAAGACTGTCGCAGTGCGGGATGTGATGGTGCCCCATGCAAGAGACGTCCATCAAAGACGAGATGTTTTCCGGGTATTGGATGACTGACGAGCATGCTGGGAATGACCTCTTCATCGTCTTGTTCGTAGGTACGTTCGAAAATGACAGTGGGATTGGAAGAGTTGTTGTTTCCTCCAGTAAGGTAGGTGACGGTGGAAAGCGTGGGAAAGGCCCCCAATCCGAATTTTTCGGCCAGTACTTCGTCCTTGTCATAGTGGAGATCAATGGCAGTTGTGTTGTTGTTGTTATTGCCTGCACTGCCATTTGTAGTGCTATCGTTGGGAGCAAGCGTATCGTTGTTGTTGTCTGGAGTCGTCTTTTTGACTTGGACCCACCATTCGGCCCCACCAGAGTCCTGAACTTCGATGCCGTACCATTGTACATGTTGTTGGAATACTCGCCATGCCAATTGTTCCAATGGACATAATTCTTGATCATCCTCGTCATCTGCCTGCCCCAACCAAAACGTGTCTTTGCTGTGGTGGACCAATTCTTGAGCTTGTTCCACCAACACATCAGTATTGCACGTCAATTCTGCAATGGAAAAGACATTGACGGCAAATGGAAGGGACGATGATTTTGTAGTGTCTTGTACGGTGGTGTGCACGAGTTCTGGCAGCTTCCATTCTTGGACCAATTTCTGAGATGAATGTTTCAACTTGCACGACAAGAGCTGTGCACAATCGCAGTACGCCTTGCCCATTCCAATGTAGTTGATCTCATCGTGCCACTGGTGACAATGATTCGCACAGGCTTCACAGACACACAACAGACCGCCGGATGGATTATTGGAACAACATGTTTCACACACAAAAATCGATTGATACGTCGGTTGGGCGCCCGTCACGGCAAAGCTACAGCAACACGGATTCACCACTGCTTCTTCTTCCGTGGCGTCATTTTCCTGCTGCTGCTGATGTCCTTCCTCATGGCTGGTAGTGGCAGGAGTACTAGTAGTTGTTGTGCTAGCAAGAGTAGAGGACATGATCGCAGCAACATCATGCATCATGGTCGGATGAGGCCTGAACCTCAAAAAACTTGAAAAAGCGTCGAATGGATGCTTTCGTCAGCGTGCTCTCAAAAGGAAATGATTCATTCGAAAGAGCATCCAAAAAAAAGAAAGCAGCAAACACCAAAACAGCAAAACAACTACTAGCTAGCTAGCCTAGCTAGAGCTACCGGTAGTGGCAAATTGAGGCCAACAGCATGTAACAACAACATAATATGTTTCAATAAGGATGAATGAAGATGGTGACTTTGACATTCTTGTAGAGATAGCCCGAAAGAGGGCTTCCGATGATGTAGAGATGACTTCCATCAACAAGGAAAGCAATCCACAACCAGAGAAGAGTCATACAATGTCTACATGGCACGACGTTACACAGATGATGAGACCGGCAATGGGAGTACCAGTATCCCCAGCAACATCAGAAGAAGAACGCTCTTCTTTTCCATCATTACCGCCAGGCAGGCACATCACATTGCCTGGTGCCTTTGCTGTAGATGGCATCGGACAGGACCAAGCACCTGTCGATGCTCTTGTGATACATGCCAGTAACATGAGAGACGAAAATCATGAAGATATCAATCTACTAAACCAGAATGTACATGTAGGAACAACTTCTCAGTCAACCCAAGGAAGGTCCAAGCAGTACTGGAGACAAAGGTTGCTTCGTGTCCTTTCGTTGGAAGTCAATGTGGTTCTATTGGCAGTGGTTGTGGTACTTTTGGCATTTATGGCAGTGTTTAATACAGGAAATCGCAGCACCAGCAACACATACATCCAATCAACAGCCATTGAAATTTCTGGAGCTCTAGAAGCAACATCACCACCAACAATGGCACCAACAAGCTTTTTGGATTCTCTCAATCTACCAGAGTATACACTGGAAGCTTTAGAAAAACCCCAGGACTCCTCAGTCCAAGGCCTATCAATGGCTGACTACCAATCTCAACAACAACAACCAAAACTCTACACTCCAGGATCTGCCAGAATGGAGACTGACACAGAGATTTGCTTTGGCCACGTTCTACTATTCTACACGTGGAGACTATTGGGTCAAAAAGCATGGCTGGATGGATTGGGAAACCAATGAATGCAACTGGGAACAGTTTTTTGTAGGCCAAGATATGAGTCCCGAATCATACTGCAATGGGATGGGTGCAATCAAGGGATTATCATTCATGGATGCCAATAATCTGGAAGGAACGCTTCCACCAGAGATTTCATTGCTTGGCCATAGTTTGCAGTTTCTCATATTCAATCGACAACTGGAGCTGAGGGGGGGTATCCCAACAGAGATTGGACATCTTACAAAACTGACTGAATTAATTTTGAGTACCACAGGGCTCTCTGGCACTCTTCCAACAGAGTTTGGTCTACTGAGAGTTCTTGACTATCTTGTGATTGCGCACAATGAAATGGTATTTGGGACAATCCCTACTGAGCTTGGCAATTTATCCAACCTCACACGTTTCCAGCTCGTCAAATCAAATCTGACAGGTATGTGTTTGGCTTCCTTGGCGTGTACCAGCATTGACTCCATACAGCTGCTGACATTTTGAAACCCTCGGCTGTCTATACAAACCATGCAATTCAGGATCGTTCCCCAAAGAGTTTTTAAAGTTGAAACAGCTGGAAGTGTTTTATCTTGATAATAGCCCTGGACTGGACACTGCATCTGTTCTCCCAGATGTTGTTGGCAACATGCACCAGCTGGAATGTCTCAGCTTGGTGAGCAGGACTTTTGGAGAAGCGATGCCTATTCCATGTTAGTGTTTGCCAAAGGGGCTGTGTGGTGGAAATTGTGATGATTGGCGACTGACTCTCTCTCACTTTATCCTCTCCTTGCCCTTGAAAGCCCAGATTGGCTTTCTTAGAAACATGTCCTATTTAATGTTGAAAAACTGGAAGATCATTGGAACAATACCAGCTGAGCTTGGTGGTTTGACAAAGTTGGTGAGTGTGGTGGTGTTGTTGTTGTTGTGAAGATCTTGATCGATTTCTTGGGTTTGCTGCTTACAAGTCATTATGACTCTGTTTTAGGAATCTTTGACCTTGCCTGGCAACTCGATCACTGGGACTTTGCCCGAAGATCTTTTTGCATTGACTCGTAAGTACAGAAAGCCTTAGTTTGTTGAAAGATCCTGTTCTCATGCTATGCTTGTCTTTCATTCTGTTAGATCTGTTCAGTTTAAAACTTGGCTCTAACAAGATGGAGGGAACACTTCCACCTGATCTCTTTTCAAAGCTCAGTTGTCTACAACAACTGCACATCAATGACAATGAGTTCATTGGTTCTATTCCCACAGAAGTGGGTCTACTTTCAAGTCTGAAGAAGCTAGAAATGCGCAATACAAATCTATCAGGTACAATTCCAACAGAGATGCTTGCTCTGGATGACTTGACAAGCTTGGTAGTGGCAAATGCATCCTTGTCAGGCAGCATCCCTGAAAGACTATGTGGCAAACTGGATCCACAGCAGTTGAAGTGTTTTGGTGGACAGTGCTACCAAGTGAAGAGTGAAATTCCAGTATGCCAGGGAACCTCTCTTTGTGGTTGTGACTGCGTTCCTTGCGAGTAGTGATCTAGTGGTAGCGCCAACGCTGGTTTCTGCCAAGAAAAACTAACTTCTAGATGTCTTCCTCGTTTTCCACATGTGGCCACTCTTGTGCGTGTCTATGCGACTCTGTTAATCCTATGAATTCCAGAGGAACTCAGTTGGTAGATGCACAAGAGCTGGGATGGAGAGCTCTGTTTGGTGGAGATCTCCTTCCACTGGCGCTGGAAAGGCCAGCCCAAGGCTGGCAGCCAATCCTATTCAATCACTGTGGAAGCAATGATTGAACAGTCTAATTGCTCAATACCCTGGCACTGGCCATACAGGAACCGGTCTACTGCAGAGCTCTACTTGTGCTGTTGGGTCTGTTTCTCAGGTCAACTACTTCTTCATTAGTTCTTTAATCTATAACATAAACACAAACACAGATTTGGCGTCAAAGAATTCTCCATCATTCAGCCTTGCAGGATACAGATCCATGCATCTCTTTTGGCTGGTTAGATCAAGCCATCTGTTTAGATAGGTCATGGATGAGGAACTGCATCACCCTTCCTTGCAGTGGAACTTTATGTCCTCTACAGCTGTTTCTATCTTGTCTGATGGTGACACTGCTCTTTGTACTGAAAGAGTGCACAGATGCAGTAGCGATGTTTCCATCAGACCATCTGAAGACTGAAATCCTACGTTATAATGCGACACGACGTTTTTGCTGTTGTGACATGGACATTTGGCTTGGTGGTTGTCATAAACGTCGTAGGAGCTTGTTTTCAGGAGCGTGCCTCAATCGTGCATATTCGCAGTCGTGTATGATGTCACAATGCTACGAGCCGTGCACGTTTGACGTCTGTCCACAGAGGTGCGAGCACTGTCCCTTAATTAGGGCAGAGTTTGAAACTCTGCCCTAAATTAGGGCAGAGTTTGTGCCCTAATTTAGGACAGAGTTTGAAACTCTGCCCTAAATCGAAAACTCTGCCCTAATTCGAAAACTCCGACAATGATGACACGGTCGTACTCAGAGTAGTCTTACAATAGAATTCTATTACTAGACTACAACATGACGACCATGATCGTCGGCCGTACCCTACCGTACCCACATTGGAAGACCTCTTTTCCTACGTGGCAAGGCTGTAGAAAATGTACTAGCAGGGTCAATGCGTTTCATTCGGTCAACGGTCGTTGAACGATGGCACTCCATCGTCATTGAACGATGGCACTCCGTCGTATCGTGTCCTTCCACGGAGCGACTAGACTCCACTCCAACGATGGCCACATGAGCACAGTCCACAAAATGCCCCGAATTTACAACGGGAGACGACGAAGATCCGTAGTTACTTGTTACCACCGACGCACTAGCGCAATGACGGAAACTGAAACAGCTGTCGAGGAAACAGACACAGCCGAGGAAATGACGGACCAGGAGGCTCTTCTTTTGCTTTGGAACAGCTTCAAGCCACAGCCAACAGACTGCCGAGTGGACCTTCAGAAGGAATGTACTGATCGCTTCAACAAATGCTTCGCCAAGTATGGCCAACCATTGCCTTTTCCTGATGCAGTTTGTCTCCACAAGAAGTGCTATGCAGTAGCCCTGGCATCCCATGAATATCTCAAGATGCTGCTTGAACTCCCAAGGCCTGAAATCTTGATCTCTGCATGGGAAATTACGATTGTGGATCGAGACAAAACTGGGGAAGGCATTTCAGAGGACATTGCATTCACCTTGCGAGAGCTTTCTCTTAAGCTGGCAAGAACACCACCGTCTATCTTTGGCAATCAAAATGAAGTGAGGGATCAGAGCATTTTCCTTCAGCTAGACCCCTTTGGAACCACTGAACCTGCCGGAACTGAGAATCAGCGCCACGGCATGATATTGTGGATGGCAGCACATAATGTACTTGGGAACGCATGGTGGGATGTCTATACTTCGAAGTCTCTTCAGCCTGCTATTGATCCAGATCGCCAGGCCCTGCGAATCACCTCGGGGAACCAGACATACTTCGTGACACAAAAAGCAAAGGAATCAATGACGACTGCCATTCAGTACAATGCCAATCCAACCCCCCCCCCCCAATCTTCTTTAGATGCAAGTCTGCCGTTGTTGCGGTATGTGAAGTCCTAGGAGTGGTGAGACATCAATACACAATGCCTTATACACAGGATGAGCTTGCAGCAATTGATTGGGATCATGTTAGACCAGGATTTTCGGAAACATACCCCAATGCATGGCAGCCAGAAAAGGATGATTTTGCCAAAGTCAAGGCAGTGCATACAGCTACAAAAAAGAAGAAGATGCAAAAGCCAGGGTATTGGGCATGGAAAAGAGTGGTGTTCAGTCCTATTGCACATACACCCAGCGGTGGGCTAGGTGGAGGAACCTTATGGCAGTTTTTCGGGCAATGAACCCAGACGCTACCCTGGAACTTGTCGAATCTATTGCAACTATCGCCTGCAAGCTCTGCAAATCTGAAAAAGACATGGATAAAGCCGTAGACCAGGAAGTCAAGAAACACATTGCCAAGCTCAAAAAGCAAGCAAGAATTCAGGCGAAGCTGAATGCCATAAAAGCACAAGAAGAAGCAGCCAAGAAGCAGGCAGTGGAGGCAGTGGAGGAGGCGACTAGGATTCAAGAAGAAAGATGCAACATCTCCTCTGGCACGCAAAGATTGTCGGGATCTAGGCGACAAACCAAGTGCACTACGCTAAAAGCTAGTGTAAAGATCTTTCGAGTGTTTTGAGTTTGAGAGAATGAAAGTTATGAGAGGATTAGAAAGCTATGAAAACTAATCAACGAGAGAGATCTACAATCAAAGGATCGTAGATCTGAACGCGATGTTTCACCATCGACCTAGTATGACTAGCGGTCATGAGAACCCTGTCTCAATGACTATTCACGAAAGACTCAGTCATGAGTCGAACTCAAACCCTATCTAGGATCGAGTCGCGAATAAGGCTAAGAGCCGTGTATTGCATTCGCCCCCTGACAAGGGTCACGGAAGGCACGACATCAGTCGGACAAGGAGAACATATGAATTAAAGTGCGGGGCACTCTCCGGAGATTGGATGTAGACATGTGCGTCGCACGATGGCAATCCTACAAGGGGATCAGGCCTTGTATGGGTGTAAATACCTTATGTTCCAAGTCTGGTAGACTGTGCCGCTACTGGTGGTAGTATGTCGGAGCCGTACAGTGCCATTGTTATTGACTCGGTCTGTGTGGTAAGGACCTTTGTGCTTTGGCTGACCGTATTAGCAGTGCTGATACTGATGAATCATCGTAGTATCGTTGACATTGCGATGAGATCCAGTCAGGGTAGATGCACAAAGAGCTGGCTGGAGTGGAGAGCTCTGCTTGGAGCCTCACTCCTCTGAAAGTGGGAATGGGCCAGCCACAAAGCTGGCTGCCGCTGCTATTCAATCTCCACAGCAATGATTGAACAACTCACTCTTTGCCTTGGCACAATCCACACAGGAAGGCTTCAACTGTGGGGAAACTAGTGCTATTGAGGCTGTATCTGGTCAACTATCCTTTCATTACTTCTTCTTCTTTAAACTATGCTAAAATCAACTGAACACAAAATCCTTTCATTACTTCTTCTTCTTTAAACTATGCTAAAATCAACTGAACACAAAATCCTCGACAGCACTCAGCCATGCAGCTTTGGCTCTCTTGCATCTCATTTGGCTGGTGCTGGCAAGCTAACTTTCTATATTGTCTTGGCTGAAGAACTGCATCATCCTTGGGTATATAGAGTTCTCAGCTATTTCTGTATTGCCAGATGGCTGCACTGCTGACCCTACTGTGGAGTATACAGATGTCACAGCGATTCTTCCACCTGGCTAAACAGCACAGCTGCTTCGCAACACAATGGGAGTTCACGTGGATTTCACTCATCGCTCCCCACCATTTGATGTGTTCCATGGTGGTGTCTAGGAGATCAGCTGTGTCTCCTTGCCAGAACAGAACTGCCTTCAGAATGGCCATATCTGGGAGTAACCCAGTGTTTCGTCAGGATGTCTGCGGGGTTGATTGCTCCGGTAGATGATGAAACGAGATGGGCCCTGCGGCAATGGCTTCTCTGACGAAGTGGTAGGAGAGGGCGTGATGTCTCTTCTTGAGGGCGATGGGGCTGGGTGGAACTTGTCACACAGACCCATTGTCGCCAAACATGTATGTTGGCCCCTTTACCTCCACACCAAGAACCTGAGTGTAACTCTGGCTGCAATGGCCTGTTGGGTGCAACCCTAGCAGCAACGAACTCAGAGCCGTATGTGGCTGCTTCCACAGTAGCTTGCTTCTGCAGTACCATTCGAATGGGGTCTGGTTCACATAGTGCAGTACACCAGTGACTGCCTTGCCATTGACCCAATCGTGGTATAGATTTGCATCCACGTAGGTCGTCAATACTACCGGCTTGCCCTTTGGCTGTGGGGCATCTACTGGGAGTTCCTCCTGTGCTCCCCATAGACCGTCCTTGTCCAGTCGTAGTTCGGTATTCCAGTTGAGAGTAGTCTGCTCGTTGGTGCGGATCCTGATTCCTGCCTGGTTCATCTTGACCAAGAATCCATGATCCTCTTGAGTCTTTCAGGTGCCCCACTCTGGGTGCCACCCTGAAGGAGACATTGACATTACAGAGACTGCAATATCAAATCTCCCAAGTGAAATTGCCCATTGCAATGCTCCAATCAGGGACTGTATTTTGAGATCCCATCATCATCAGGAGAGGAGAGGTATCAAGCTCTGGTGGTCGTTCTTCTCCACTGTGACTGGTTACCTTAGTGGAGGGTTCTCCCCAAACAAGGATACATACTGGGCTTGACACGTTCAATGTACTTTCTTGGTGTCATGGACAGGATTTCGTCGCCATCCCTTTCAAAAGTCACATCCCAGATGGAAGGTACAGGTCAGTTCCTTTGAGTTTGAACTTGTGTGGTGGAGCCTGCAGTAGATCGATGATGACTTGAGGTTGATTGGAAGCTATCAATAGGTCTTCAACATAGCAACCGATGTACTCATAGTGGTCGCCACAATCACGCATCCAGATATCTGGCTCAGCCTTAGAGGGCTTTGAAGCCAAATCCGTGAAGCACATCATACAGTCTATCATGCCAACATTTGCCTGATGACTTGAGGCCATATTGGGCCTTGATCATCTTCATCGTATGCCCAGCCATGTCTCCAAACTCCCACCAGCAATAAAACACACCTTCTCAGTCGTGTAGCTTTCCAGGTATGCGTTGCCAATGTCCGTTGCCAGAGTTCAAGCCCATTCAACTCAGCCTAGAAACTAACCAGACGGATGCCCTGCAAGGACACAACACCTGAGTAGGTTGGGTC